GACTGAGAAGTAGAAAGGACTGAACTTCTGAAATACGACTGGGAACAGCACGCTGGCTGCAGGAGGCTGGCTCCCCGAAGGACACATGGATATGGCGAAGGCGAAACTCATCCACCCTGCAGAACACAGACTCCTGGTCTGTGAGTTCTCGGACCAGGAAGGACCACGGGAAAATGTTTTTCAGGGGTGGGAGGTTTTCTATCTTGATGGAGGCTGTGGATCACTTAGGGGTCTCCATTTGTCAAAACTAGGCTAACTACACATGAGGCTGGTACGCTACTCCATACATAAAGAACACTTTTATTAAAAAAAAAAAAAAAAAAAAAAAAACAACTTCGTGGAACAGTTACCAGAAAAAAAGTTAAACAGACTCCAAGATATTTGCCAGGTGCACAACGAATGATGTGTTATGGGGCTTATAGCCTGTGTAACGATCTCCCGCACCCTGAGCCACAGGAAATGCGTTCCAGACTCTCTCATTATCTCTGTAACTGTGCCTTTCAAATAAAAATTCATGAAATTTTAAAAAGGCAGGGGGTGAGGGCATCATGGTGTAGTAGGCTGAGCTCTCACCTATGATGCCAGCATCTCACAGAGGTGCCAGTTTGAGCTCTGGCTGTTCCACTTCAGAGCCAGCTCCTTGCTTATTCCCTGGGAGGGCAGCAGAGAAAGGCCCAGGTCCTTGGACTCCTGCACCCACATGGGAGACCAGGAGTAAGCACCTGGCTTCTGGCTCAGCTCTGGCTGTTGTGGCCATCTGGAGAGAGAACCAGCAATGGAAGATTCTCTCAAACTCTCTCCACTTAAAAAATAACAAATGTGTTCTAGACCACTGCTGAAACCATGCGAGGGGACTGAAGCCTGTGGATTCTACAGTTTTATGTTTGTTACTGTACATACATGCTTCTGATAAAGCTTAATTTATAAACTAGGGACAGTAGAAGGCTAACAGAAATGAAAACTCATAGAACATTTTTTAACAATACACAATATAGTTACTTGAATTGCTCTCTGCCCACCTTGTCTGTGATGCTGGGAATTCCCTTCTGGCTTCTCTCCAGCCATCTGAATCACCAGCATCACAGCTCTGTGCTCTGCAGCTATTGTTATTATTGTTGTTGTTGTTGTTGTTGTTATTATTAAGTAAAATAAGGATTGCATGAACACAAGCCCTGCAGAACTGCAATGGTGGATCTTACAGCCAAGAGCACTACTGACTGATTAGGACACAGCTAAGCATATACGGCACAGATACAAAGGCATGCTGCACATCTGGTCTTACAAAAGATGATGGGCCCGGAGCGATGGCGCAGCGTTTAAGCTCCTCGCCTTGAACCCATACAGGCACCGGTTCTAATTCCGGCAGCCCTGCTTCCCCTCCAGCTCCCTGCTTGTGGCCTGGGAAAGCAGTTGAGGACGGCCCAAAGCTTTGGGACCCTGCACCGTGTGGGAGACCTGGAGGAAGTTCCTGGATCCTGGCTTTGCATTGGCTCAGCTCCAGCCATTGCGGCCGCTTAGGGAATAAACCATCGGATAGAAGATCTTCCTCTCTGTCTTTCCTCCTCTCTGTATATCTGCCTTTCCAATAAAAATAAATAAATCTTAAAAAAAGAAGAAGAAAAAAGATGAGGCTAGGCCCAACACTATAGCCTAGTGGCTAAATCCTCACCTTGCATGCACTGGGATCTCATATGGGTGCCAGTTTGTATTCCAACTACTTTATATCCAGCTTCCTGCTTGTGACCTGGGAAAGCAGCTGGGGATGGCCCAAAGCCTTGGGACTCTGTGGGAGACCCAGAGGAGGCTCCTGGCTTCACAAGGAGAGTGAACCAGTGGATGGAAGATTATTCTCTCTGTACCTTCTTCTCTCTGTATATCCGCCTTTCCAATGGAAAAAAAAAAAAAAACTTAAAAAAGAAAACAAAAGAAAAGATGGGGCTGGATGGTACACAATTTTTTAAACTATTTTATTTAATTATTTATCAAAGACCTATTTATATAAGTGACTGCAACGGCCAGAGCTGAGCTAATCTGAAGCCAGGAGCAAAGAGCATCTTCCAGGTTTCCTATGTGGATGCAGGGTCCAAAGGCTTTGGGCCATCCCTGACTGCTTTCTCAGGCCATAAGCAGGGAGCTGGATCAGAAGTGGGGTGGCTGGGATTGGAACTGGTGCCCATATGGGATCCTGGCACAAGCAAGGCGAGGACTTTAGCTGCTAGGCTACCACGCTGGGCCCAAAACCTGTCTTTCTTCCTCTGCCTTTCCTCCCTCTATTAACTCTGGCTTTCAAACAAACACATCTTAAAAAAAGAAAAGAAAAGAAAAGATTTATTTCTAGAGTTATCCATTCAATATTATAGTACCATGGGTGATGCTGAGTAATTGAGACTTCCCAAAGTGAAACCACAGAGAAGGATGACTTTTTTATTTAAAAAAAAAAAAAAAAACTTAAAGTGCTGGTAACACCAGTGCGAAGGATGATAAGACCAGCCTGTTATCAGGTTACCGTAGCACATGTCAGTGGTATAATTGCTGTGTGATAGGCTGTTAAGAATTGAAAATGTATACTGCAAACCTTAGGGCAACCACTTAAAATGATGCGTAACTAACACATGAATGGAATGGTGAAAAAGCAGCAATTTTGTAAAAACTGAGTACTAATACAAAAATAGACCTACTTTAAAATAATCTAAAAACAGACAAAAAGGAGCTAAAGTATTCCTAAGCATCTGGAACACAGAAAAGAACTAGCATTACAGCAGATTGAAATGCAATCATATCAGCAATTGCATTACATTTTTGGTGATAGAATCAATGCCCAGAATATGTCTTAGGAAACATTTACAAATCAATTGGAAAAAGACCTTACGACAGACACTCTGGCAAAGGTTACGGAGAGGAAATTCATGGGAAGAAACGCAACGTTTAGTAAGAAAAGACGCAGGATGCTCCAGCTTCCTGAATACAGAACTCGAAGACCAGCCACCACTCGCCCTCCCTGCTGGCATACTTTCTAAGCTGGTTATCAGCAAGCAATGGCAAGAAGGTACCAACAGCCACTCCTGTCTTGCTGGTGGGACCTACGTGGGTGAGCAGAAAGGTGGAGGTGCTCCCGTCCTGCGTGTTGAGAGACTCCGTGTGTCTCCCACGGTGAGACCAGGATCCTGTCAGCCAGTGAGTTCGTTCCCCTCAGGGAGAGGCAAAGCCAACTACAGAAAAGCATGAAACACGTGCTTGCAGTAACTACAAGCAGACATGCCTGTTGAAACACGACTGGCTATGGGCTGAGGAACTGTCACTCACATAGGGCTTTTGTTTTTAATATCCAAAGCAGTGTGGTATACAAGGTGCACATCAAGTACAGGAAGCCCTTGCTGGGGAGGGACAGCCTGGGATGCTGTAACTCAGACCCTCTTTCTGTCCACAGCTTTCCTGGGTTTTCTATGCAGAGAGCTGAGCCCAGGCAGACAGCTTTTCTTGCCTTGCCTTCTCATCAAGCCCAGCTTCAGTCCTGCCCTCCACGGGCTTCCGTGGTGAGGAAACACATTCTGTGTTCTTTCCTCCTGCCAGCTACCTACAACCAGGGTTCAGTTCGAGGAGCCAGGACACCTGCCTAGACCAGCACACTTCAAAACATTCACGGAAAAACGGAATTACACGATTATGAGCATTTTCCACGAACTTGTAAAAAGTGCCTTCTACTTTTTTTTTTTTCTCTCTCTCTCTCCCTCTTTTTCAATCCCTAGCCAGTTCTGGACACCTAGGAGGTATTCATTCCATAAATCCGTGTGTCGGTGCACCTGTCCCGGAAGGGGAGCTGCCAACTCGAGGCGCCACCATTCCTTTGAGCATTCACCAAGGGGCTGCAACGGTAACTTGGGGTAAACAAGTCACTCCCCTCTCGGCCTGTTTCCTCCCGACGATCCATCGGCCTGGCCCCTTTCAGCCCTCGCACTCTCCGATTCTAGGAATGTGTCTTTTCATGTCGAAAACAACATTGCGCCGTTTTACAAAAGCACCCAACCCCCTGGCTACCCTTGGAACCACAGCCCGCTTCCCTGGAACCCGGACTGCACAGCGCTGGTCACATGAACTCCGGGCTTTCTCTGGTGTGACGGCTTTCTTAGATCCCTTTGTGAGCGCAGGTTTTGAAAGGGAACGACCCCGGGTTCTGGGTTTGAGAGAAGCAGAGGAGCCGGCGGGAGGAAGGCTGTCGGAGCCAATCAACCCGCCTCCAGACCCCACCACGTCGCCTGGGGCTGCGCGCTCGGCTTCTCCTCTGCTCTCCGCCCGCCTCCTGGCCTCACCCGAGGGTGCCGGGGCAGGCGAGGAACCCCCAGGTGAGAGGACCGAGGGCCCTGGAGGGTGGGAGGCCCCAGCGGTTCGGCCCGGGCTCCACGACGGGCTGGCCCGGGCTCAGGGCGTGTCCGTCGCCGCCTGGCTGCTCGCTCGACACTGTTCGCTCCTACCGGCTGTAGATGGAGCTGTCTGGGTTCCGGCAGCCTCCGACGAGCCTCGGAGTGTTTCTCTTTAAACGGCCTGAGAGGGACATGCCTCCCAGGATGCAGTTTGTATCAACATGGCAGCTGCTGTGCAGCTCCCCTGCTGAAGAGGCGCCGGGACGGCAGCGCAGCTCGCAGCCGGGGCCGGGGCCGCAGCCAGGGTCGCAGCTGCGGCCGCAGAGGGGCGGCGCGCGGGCCGGGGGCTGCTGCTGAGGGCCGGGGCCCAGCTCGCGGCCGGGGCGCAGCCGGCCGGGCCGCCCGTACCGCCGCGCGCCCCGCTCCGACGCCGCCGCCCGGGCTCGGCTGCTCGGTGTCCGCCAGCCCCGCGCGCCCCGAGCAGGCCGGGGCCCGACGGCCGCGCGCGAGCCCCGGCGGGGAAGGCTGGGCCGAGCCGGCGCCGCCTGCGGAGGGGACCGGGCGGCCGGGCCTGTGTGGGGGCCGCGCACGGCGGCGGCGGCGGCGGCGGCGGCGGCGGCGACTCCCGGGGCCCGGCCGGACAGCACAGGGCCATGGCCGAGGCGGCCCCGGCTCCGGTGAGGGCGGCCCGCGCGCGCACGGACGCGCGGCCCCGGGCCCCCGGGGACGGCCTGCGTGTCCCGGGCTCGGCGTCCCGGCCTGGGGTCTCGGTAAGGGACAGAAAACGCTGCGACGTTGGCGGGGGAGGGGGCGCTCTGGAAGGGCTCGCGCGCTTCTGAACGCGGGGCGGGGAGGCGGGGGCTGCCGGCCGGGTCCGGGCCGAGACTCGGCCGCCGTCCGTGCGAGGCTGCGCGGACTCCGGGCCCGGTATACACGCGGCCCCGAGGTGGGGCGCCCGGCGGCGGCGGCAGCGGCGGCGCGCTCGCTCCCTGCGGTGCCGGCACTGCGTCCGTCGGGGTGGCCGCCGGCACGTTTTCCGCAGAGCTCGGTCCCGCCGAGCCTCTTCGACTCGGGCGCGGCGCTAATGCGCCTCTCCCATTTCGCGGAACGGAGACACTGAGGTACTGGTACCTGGAGGGATCTGCCCTACTTGCCCCCAAGGTCATGTAGCGAGTCATCGGAGACGTGGTGCCCGCGGCCCCATAGAGGCCTGCTTGGCTGCGGGCCTGGACGGGGCGGGGACGGCTCTGGCGGTGGCCTCCCCTGGTGGTGATAGGGTAGGGGGCTGGCGCAGCCGGGAGGTGGACGCGGCCCGTCGGGGGAGGCGGATGAGGATGCGGGACGGCTCCCAGCCTAGAGCGCAGTGGAGAGCAGCGGACATCTCCAGTCGGGCATCGTCTCCCTCCCCCCACCCCCACCCCAGCCTGTCCCCACCCCAGCCTGTGTATCTAGAGGGTTCAGGGCCAAACTGTGGGTGTTATGACGGCTGGGGTCTGGGGAGGGAGAGTCTGACAGCTTGGGGGAGGAGAAGAGAGGGCTGGTGTCGTTGGTGTGGGCTCCCCATTGGGCCAGCCTGAAAAATCGGCCTTCAAATCGGCTTGCATACCTGTTCTTTGAGGTGCCCTGGCTTCTGAGGACGAGGGTGAGGGTGGCTGCAGGGGAGTCAGTTTCCTGTTTGGCGTTAAGAGGGGAGGTGGCGTCCTTGCCTTTCTAAAAAGCCTCCTAGTTCTTAGAAAATAAGGATAATAAAGTTGAAACTCTCAGGAAAATAAAATAAAAGCTGAGATGTGCACATGCCTCCCTGGGGCTTAGGTTTCGGGCACCCTTTTGAATGGTCTGTGGTTCTGAATGAACCGCACTGAGTCCTACAAGACAATGGCACAGCTTCCTTAATAAGTTAGATGCATGTGGTTCTTTATGTTTCTACTAACATAGTATGAGTCTTAGAGGTCACTGTCAAGATATGATTCACTGGGGAGGTTTTTGTTTGTGTGTTTTAGAAGACTGTCAACCCCAAGCCAGCAGTTTGAGAATCTTTTTATTCATTTTAGAGACGTGTGTAGCCTAGGGTAAGATCAAACCATGCGTATTGAGACTGATGACATTATAGCAGGGGACTTTAATTTGGGGAAAGGAAGAGGGACAAACCCTTTGGCCCCTGGTCTCTCTCCAGTCCTCCCAATCTTGAAATGTGAAGACGCAGTCTAATACTAAGAAGCAAAGAAGTTGGATTTTCCTTTAGGCAACATTGGGTTGGTAAATTTGTGTTGCTCTGTTGCTGGCTTTTCGTACTATGGTATGTTTTGTTTTGTTTTTTTTCATTGATTTCTCCTTACTGGGGAGACTAACCGAGACCCAGGGATTGTTTTTCCCCCTTCTTCCTACTCATTCCTACTCATTCCTTCTACCTAAACGTTTGCCCTCATTTGCCTGTGAGGAAGAGCTGGGACGTACCTGTTGTGTTACATGACAGGTAACTCGCTTATCTATCCAAGGGGGCCATCCAGTCTTACATTGGCCTGTTGGGAAGCAGTTTAGGTGTATATGAGCATGCAGGTTTAGGAGTCAAGTGAATTCATTGAACATGTTTGCCCAGCTCTGGGTGATCTCCCAACGTGGGCATTCCAGAGGTATCAAAGATTGAGAGCATGCCCGTACCAGCTGCCCCCAGTGGCAGGTGGACCTGGAGGCAGCCTGCAAGCTGTGGAGCCAGGCTGTTGTGGGATGTGGGGTGGGTTCCTCAGCCTGTCCTGACCTCAGGGTCTTCAAAGGTTGAGTGTGGGTAGTAATTCTGGTAGTACCTATTTTGCAGATTTGTATGAGGATTAAATGAGGTAATCCTTCCAAATGCTTATTGTAGTTCCTGGCAAATAATAAATGCCGAATAATTGTTAACCATTCCCAGCTAATTAGTTCTTGTATCACAGAGCTATTGGTTCACATACTTCTTCCAAATCCTTTCGCTGTTGAGTGTTTCATCCTCTGCTTTGCAAGTGTGCTGTCTTGAACAAATAATAGGAAGGGGGCGATGGATGCTATGACGTCGGTCTAGAGGAGCCTTTGGTGGACCATTACAGAAACCTCGTCAGAGACCCTAAGGCTACTTTTTGTAACTCAACAATGCATTCAGTGGAAGTTACTGAGTACAGTCCTGGGATATGCCAGTTTTCAAATAAATGAAAATTTTAATTACTTTAAGGATCTTTTATATAAAGAGCGCAGTAATTGAGCAGATTCTTGAAAGGAAGATGATGAGGAAATGACAGCAAGGGATACGTGGCAAAATCACATTTTTTTCCTGATAAAGTTGTTGATTGTCTGGCTAGGTGAACCCAGAACCGGTCACTCACGCAGTGTGGCCTCAGCTCCCTGATGTTTCAGGAATTCCGTCTGCATGGATGGGGCAGGATGGGAACAGGGAGACTGAGAGTCGTTGGAATTCCAAAAAGAAAACTGAAGCTTCGTTTTGGGTTCCAGACCCCACTAATCTTGATAGAGGTCTTAACACTATTGCGTGTTCTGTCCTGCCAGGCCTCCTCCCTTCCTCATTTTCCCACCTCAGGAACCACAGAGAGGAAGCCAGCCAGCCCGAGAAGCTGCCGCAGTGACCGCTTGCGAAGGGCTCGCCTGCCCCAGCGTCTCGGTCCCTCTTCTCTCTGCTTAGAGCAGAAGAAGCCCGTGCGGCATCCACGGGAGGAACTGGGCACCAGTGCACATAAGATGCTTTCCAAGGCAAACAGACCGTAGAAGTTCTGTGAGACAGTTCGGCTCTTATCAAAGAGTAGCTGTCTGGGAAACTGAAAATAATTTTGTGTCCTCACTCTTGGGTAAAGTGAGAGAAGGAGCCCAGGGTGCCGTGCCTGCCTAGTAACGCCGATGCAAGCAACAGGGGCTGGGTGTCAAGTCCATGTGGGAGTTAACTCAGTTGACAACACTGGCTTCCAACCAGTGATCGTCCCCCATCCCTTCCTCTTGCTAGGTGTTGGGGGATAGCATCAATGCATGGCATTTTCAAAATTTTGCTGTGTCATTTCTCAAAATGTTATACTCAGTGTTGTAACGACGGAGTGAGAATAGCCTGTGCCCAAGAGACATATTATTGTTGTTTTATGGACAAGGACACTGCGAACGGAGAGGTCCGATAACCAGGCCAGCTGGTGCAGGTCGCTGTAGGTCAGGTGGAAAGCCAAGTTCTCAAGTTGGTTCCCTTTTTCCTCTCCCAGCTAGGCACTAGCTCCATGAAAGACACAGCCATTGTCTATTTCTTGATCGTAATTGACATATAAGTCAACGGTCAGTGATTTCAAGAAGAGACTCATGCTGGCCAAGTGTATCTCACCACTCCCCAAATGGGGGTCATGTGGGCACTTGCTTTAAGAGTTGTTTCTGTCAGTTGCAGGCCGTGCCTTCAATCCCGACTTTCCTCTCTCAAACACAGGCCCAGCAGCTGGACATGGAGAAGCAACGCTCGTCCCCACTGTCATTCCCCAGTCTGCCACCAGAAGAACCTCTACGTCAGGCCCCTGCTGGACTCTCCCGAGAAACACTGTTCCAATCCCGCCTTCTCCCCCCGAAAGAAACCCCGCCTTTGTCTCCCACTGTCACCCGGCAAGGTGCCCTACCCCAGACTTCCGGTGTTGCCAAGCAAGAGACTTCTGGCCGGATACCACCTGTTCACCAGAAGGGACCTGCACTCCTGTGCCCTGCCACGTCTGAGCATGAGCCTCCCCTGCAGGGGTCCCTGGCTGCCCAGGACGAGACCCAGTATCCTCCCCCAGCTGCCACGGAGCAGGACATCTCCCTGCTGTCTCACTCCACTCACCATTCAGAAGCCCCTCTCTCCTCCCCTGAAGCTCCTGAGAAAGACCACCTGACACTCTCCCCGACAGCCCCCGAGACTGACATGGACCCTCTGCTGCACAGCCCAGCTTCCCAAAAGGACGCCCCCTTCCAGCTCTCTTCAGCAGCCCAGAAGGAGCAGCCACTGCCCACAGCGGAGATCACCCGCTTGGCCGTGTGGGCTGCCGTCCAAGCGGTCGAGAGAAAACTGGAGGCCCAGGCCATGAGGCTGCTGACCCTGGAGGGCCGGACAGGGACGAACGAAAAGAAGATAGCCGACTGTGAGAAGACAGCTGTGGAGTTTGCAAACCACCTGGAGAGCAAGTGGGTCGTCCTGGGCACACTGCTGCAGGAGTACGGGCTGCTGCAGCGGCGCCTGGAGAACATGGAGAACCTGCTCAAAAACAGAAACTTCTGGATCCTGAGGCTGCCCCCAGGCAGCAATGGAGAAGTTCCCAAGGTGAGTCTGCCCCAGCTGGGGCTTCTCCGAGGGCGACCTGAATTGCAGTGTGACTAAGGAGTTGGGTTTAATGTGAATGAAGGGGAAAGTAATGGCTCGGAGGTTGGGGGAGGGAAGAGTGGTGATGCTGAGCTGCCGGTCCGTCCTTGCCTCATTGAGAGCAGGCTGCACCCAGAGCGTGTCCTTCTGACCGGAGCCGGGGCTGGTACAGAAGTGGCCCGGCAAGAAGGAAGGGTTGGTTTGAAGGGTGTTGGGCAGAGTCATCCAGTGACATCCGAGGGTAAGAAGGCCAGACAGAGGCAGGTAAGAGTGAAGGTGAGGAATGTTGCCATCGGGGTAGAGGGAGGGAGAACCGGGGTTAAGTGTGACAGGCATTCGTTCTGCCCTGTTAGCTCACTCAGGAGCCATGTTGATGCCAGGAAAACCAATTTACAAAAGGATCCCAAGATAACCTAGAGCAGGGTTAGGTTTCCGCAGTATTTTCCAGGAGGTTCAAAAAGGGCTTGAGTCCGGACGAATTTTCTTGGTGTTTTTTTTTGTGTCACTGTCCCCTTCCACAGCCTTACATAAGGCCAAAATGCCGTGGTCTCAAGGTTAGCATGGCTCATATCCTACTGGGGAGTCCCCGGAAACACTGATAGTGTAGGTTCTCGAGGAGGGAGAGGAGGTGGGAGTCTGCATTTCCAGCACATTCTCTGTTGGTGCTGTGGCTGTTGGTCAGCACGGCCAACTTTAGAGTCATCTTGACAGAAGGGACACGGACCAAACCAAACGAATCTGACAAGAGAGACTACAGGAACTGTGTGTTGGTTCCTTTCTCCCTCCAGCCCTGGGAAGGAGCTGTCTGGCCTGCGGGCTGCAGCCTGGGGCTGGGGTGGCGTCCTGTTGGCCTGAGCTGAGCCAGTTGTGTTTCAGGTCCCTGTGACATTCGATGACGTCGCTGTCCATTTCTCGGAGCAAGAGTGGGGAAACCTGTCCGAGTGGCAGAAGGAGCTCTACAAGAACGTGATGAGGGGCAACTACGAATCTCTAGTCTCCATGGGTAAGACCAGGGCCTCACGGGCCTCTCGGGGAGCAATGCATCGGGAAACTTGGGGAGTCCAAAGCCCAGACGGGCCAGTGGTGGTTAACAAGGGCAGCGGAAGCGCAGGGAGCGTGACGTTAACTTGCCCTCGCCTGCCCACGTGTGTCAGGACGGCATAGGCCGGACCAGCTATACAGCAAGGCTGCACTCCGTGGAGTGTCCGTGAGGGCAGGCATGGGAGTGAACCCAGACTCACCTGTCTATACTCTCGCACCTCGAGAGCGTTGTCCCCAGGGTAGGAAAAGAGAACAGAAGCCACACACACGCGCCGAGTGCTTCCTGTGGCCAGCTCTGTGAATGCCATCACCTGTCCTCCCAGCCCCGCTGTCCAGGAGCCAGAGCTGGCAGTGCCGTCAGGCGTCCACGGCTCACGGCCATTAGGCCCTTGGCCCTGTCATTGACGGCAGAGGTTAAGGGCTCACCCTGGTCCTCGCCAGCAAGTCACAGTCCCACTGCAGACCTGTCTTACCCCAAGTTCACGTGTGCTTGTTGTCAGGGAGAATAATTAAAGTTAAAACCTGGAGAAGTGCACTGGACTTTTTAAAATATCTGTTTCTCTGATTTGAGCATTTTACAAAACGTTCAGGTTTGAAGAACGCTGCTATTGTACAGAGCTTCAGGTTTGGATAAATGGTTAATTTTACATATACCTTTTTCAGAGGATAAATTTTCCGCTTCTTAAAATGAGTTTTTCTTTTCAAAATCTATACCTGATGATGAAAATTCAGCATCCCAGACTTAATAAAGAGCAGCCTCCACCAACTTCCCAGAGGGAGCCACTCAAACTGTGGCCACCCTTCCCCTCCTTTCCCGTGCATGTGCTGATACAGGCACGATGCATGCCCTGGTGCATGCACAGTGCCCATGACACAGGGACCCTTCGCTGGTCTGACCTTACAGTGAGCTGTGCTCTGCCTTCCCCACCAGCACACTCGCGCCTCCATGGGAAGACCACAAAGCCTGGCGGGGGAACTGGCCGTCTCACTCATGCCCAGCAGGCTGCTTGTGGTCTGGCTGTGGTCCCACAGTGTCGCATTCGGCGTCCCAGTGTGCATGGGCCCTGCCCAGGCTGCTCTACTCGGGCGGGTTTTGGGAGGTGGGGGTGCACGTGTGCAGTTCTGTGCCTCCCGCCCAGGAGCCTCTGGAGGGCCCTTCTGGGACAGTGCCATTTTTCCAGAAGCCTGGCCCAAGTGGAGAGAGAGTCTTCTGTCTTAACTAGGTGCCTTTTTAATAGATTAAATAATTAGGTGTATCTTTTTTCTTTCTTTTTAAATACTTCTTTCTTTGATGATTGATGAACTTCTGCATTTTTTTACATTATTGCCCCTTTGTATGTCTTTTATAAGCTGGATGTTCACATCCCTGCTTTTCTGTGATCTATTAGTGGAATTCTCTATGTATAATCATGGATATATATAAATTTAGCCCTCTGCCACATCTATCACCATATGATACTAATATGCCTGTATGTTTGTAAATATTGTCTCCAGATTTCTTCATTTTTTTAAAAGATTTAATTAAGGCATATTTACAGAGAGAAGGAGGTGCAGAGAGGAAGATCTTCCATCTGCTGGTTCACTCCCCAAGTGGCCGCAACAGGCAAAGCTGAGCTTATCCAAAGCCGGGAGTCGGGAGCCAGGAGCTTCCTCCAGGTCTCCCATGTGCGCGCAGCAGGGTCCCAAGGCTTTGGGACATCTATTGCTTTTGCAGGCTGCAGCAGGGAGCTGGATGGGAAGTGGAACAGCTGGGACACAAACTAGAGCCCATACAAGATCCTGGCGAATGTAAGACTAGGATTTAGCCACTGAGCTGGGTCCCAGATCTCTTTGTTTTTAAATTTCCCAAAACTTCTTTTTTTGATGGCCAAAACTTTTTTTAATGTATGAATACCTATCAATGTTTTGTTTTATGGCTTTTAGATTTTTATATATGATTTTATATATTTGGAAGGTAGAGAAACAGAGAGAGGGAGAAAGACATCTTTCCATCTGCTGGTTCATTTCCCAAATGGCTGCAATGGCTAGGGCTGATCCAGATCAAAGCAGGAGCCTGGAACTCCATCCAGGTGTCCCGTGTGAGTGACAAAGACCTATAGTTAGTCCACCTTCCACTTGCTGCTTTCCTAGGCATACCAGCGGTGAGCTGCATTGGAAGCTGAGCAGCTGGACCTCAAACCAGCGCCCGCATGGCAGCAGCCCAGCCCACTATACCACAGTGTCGGCACTATGACTTTTTCGATTTCATCAGGATGCATGATTTACTTTATATACTTTCATGTAGTCAACATGAAAACCTGGGCAGGAATCTGCAACCTGTCAGCTGCATCAGTTCCTCCTCCTGCCGACCCTGCTCCTGTGGCACCACAGGGGCCCTGAGGAACAAGACTGCACGTATGAGCACTTGTTTCCTAACACTGCTGGATCCCAGCAGAAGGGCCACCTCATCCCACAGTGTATTTTATTTCCTTCCTTCTGCCCAGACTATGCAATATCCAAACCAGACCTCATGTCACAGATGGAGCGCGGGGAGAGGCCAACCGTGCAGGAGCAGGAAGACTCCGAGGAGGGCGAGACGCCTACAGATCCCAGTACTGGTGAGTAACAGGCGGCACTGAGCCTGACATTCCAGATCTTTCTTTATTTAAGGAGGCCCCAGTGTGGGCCTTCTCGATTTGAGGTAGACCTGAAGCTGTATGCTAGCAAGCACTGTGTAGGAGGGAGCCCTGCCAGTATGGCGACCCGTTGGGGGGCTCTCCGTGTTCACCAACGGCACAAGTTGGTGAAGAACAGGAATCTGTTGGAGGTCATCATCCAGGAGATGGCTGTTTGCTGCTTCGTTTGAGTTGGAATACAGTGACAGAGATCTTTCCTGTCATTGTTCACTCCCTGAATGGCCACAATGACCAGTGCAGGGCCAACCTAAAGCCAGGTCAGGAGCTGCGTCGCCGTCTCCAACATAGGTAGCAGTGACCCAAGTACTTGAACTGTCTTCTGCTGCCTTCCCAGGCACATTAACAGGGAGCTGGATTGGCAGTGGAACAGCCGGGTCTTGAACCAAACACTGCATATATATGGGATGCCATTGCTGCAGGCGGTGGCTTAACTTGCTGCTCCACAGCAGTGGCACCTCAGGATTTGACATGACCAAGTGTCACCTCATTCTTTGCAGGAAATAAATCCAGAAGTGGCAAGGCAGCCATTCTTCTCAGAGTCCTAGTGCTCCCAGCTCCCTGTGCTTTCCAGAAAAGGATAGAGCTGGGCAGTAGAAAGATAAGGGACAGCTTTGGACTTTACCAGAAACATCCTGCGGCACACAATTCTAGCAAGCCAGTGTCCGGATGAAGCAGTTGATGGGGCCAGCAGAGGTGCAGCAGGCATGGCTCAGCAGGGGCCATGAAGCGGAGGACAGGCCTGGTGTCGGGCTGCCTGTGTCTGAATGCAGCTCCTTGACTTATCAGCAGTGCTGGAGGCATTTTGGAGCTGCAGGTTCCTCATCTATAGAATAGGACGGACACTGATACCCAACTGCAAGGCCTGGCATGGCGACGGGCACGTACGAGTGGCCCAGCGCATAGCCGAGCTGTAATCAGCATGCCTGGGCCATCACCCTCTCCCAGTCGCTGGCCCAGCAGCTTGTACACATGGACTGCAGGTGCTTTGATGGTGCTGCAGCTAGTTTTCAGAGCCCCTGCTTCGGAACCCACTGTGGACTTGTATCATTTGTCATGATGGTCCTCAGGGGAAGCACTGCCTCGTCCTGAGTGGGCACATTGTGGCATGTGAAGACACCAAGTGTGGTTGGGGATCAACCACTCCTGGAAAGGAGGTGCCGGCAGTCAGGGCTTGTTCTAAAATCACTGTTGTGTATTCAGGGACCTGCAGACTGACTCCCTGGCAGTGTTTAGGAACACTGAGTTACGAGGGAAGGTGAATTACAGGGCAGATAGAAGCCTGTGAAAGTAGACGTGGTGCCATGACTCAGAGCAACCCCATGTCAGGACTTCCTGGGGGACTTGCTAGATTTTAAAATCAAAGGAAATGCTGATCCTGAATTTTTGGTCCTGACAGACAAAATAGATGCGCTTAATTTACATTTTATTTATTTATTTATTTATTTATTTATTTAACTGCATTTATTTTGAAAAAGGCAAAAACGGAAAACGGCCACATCTGTTGGTTGATCCCCCAGATGCCCACAACAGCTGGGACGGGCCAGGCTGAAGCCAGGAGCTGCGGACCTCACATTTGGTCTCAGCCAAAAGGCCGAGAAGCAGTAGGCACTGGGTGTGGGTGACAGAGACCAAGCATTGGTGCCATCACCTGTGGCCTATTAGCAGGAAGTTGGAATTGGGAGGCCGATGGAATTGGAGTCCAGGTGCTCACCTGTAGGATGCAGATGTCTTACCCACTAGGTCAAACACTGCCCCAAAAGATGAATTTAAAAGTAGATGAGGACAAAGAGTTGAGGACGAAGTATGTTGAGGAACAGAATGATCTTTCGGTTGGAGGAGCGTCAGGCTGTACCTTCTAGGGTTTTCGTGGCAACATCCCAAGAGGGAAGAGAGAAACCTATGTAGAAGACTTCAAACCTTGAAGATTTGGAGAGGTGGTTTATGATCCCCAAATCCTGAAATGTGTGTCCTCCCCGAAGGGTCTGTGGTCCAGGTTCTGCCCTCGTATCCTCTCACAGAAAGGCCAGGGCGGGAACGAGCCTCAGTCTCCTTCCCCTGGTTTTCACTCCCTCATCACAGGTGGGCCTCCCTCGGAGTGCCTCAGAATCGGAACGTAAATGACCCCAGCCCAACCTACCCTAAAACTGTTCTGGCAGATTTGCATCCATAGTCTGAGCTCCTGCCGAGAGAAGCCTCCCAGAGGCTTCCTTGTGTGAGCAAGCTGTGCCATTAGTTCCAGTAACTGTTCCCAACCCCTTGGAGCCTGCAACTGGAGGTGGACAGGGGAGGACCTAGGAACCACTCCTGCACAAAGCAGGCCTTCCCACCCATGCTAGCCAAGTCTGTGATACTGCGCATGTCAGGGCCTTCAACATGCCCCGGTGCCTTAGTGCATCTTCTTCCTTAGCCTTATGGTAGCAAAACCAGACCCAAGGGTATGCTACCAGGGGAAAAGTCTAATCAGAGTTCCAAATATACCAGACATGACAATTTTTAAAAACAGGCTAAGTGAATTCATTCAATAAGCTACCATTTAGTAATTTGGCTCCTCAAGGGCAAAGAGATCCAAAAGACAACTCAGTTATCAACTGTTTCCAAAACAGTCTGAATCTGCAGGGTGCTCAGGGAGGCCCGGAGAAGCCAGCTGCAGTGTGTCCCTAGCAAACTAGCAGAGGATAAGGTGAGCTGGAGGGGTGCCGAAGTCTACGCCAACACGCTTTGTTGCTCGGACTATCTACACAGTTTTCGTTAATTTAGAAGGCAGTATGATGTCCAAATGTACTTTTAAATAATGATTTATTTATTTCTTTGAAAGAGTTACAGAGGAGGGAGAGATAGAGCTCTTTCATCCACTGGTTCACTCCCCACATGGCCATAGTGGTCAGGGCAGAGTCATGCCAAAGCTGGGAGCTTCATCCTGGCCTCCCGTGTGGGTTCATTCAAGAGGCCCAGACACTTGGGCTGTATCTTCTGCTGCTTTTCCCAGGCGCATTAGCAGGAAGTGGACCAGGACTTGGGATGCTGGAGTTACAGGCCACAATGCCAGCCCTTAAAATATGTTTTTAAGTATTTCAAATGTTGGTGTGCACTCTTAACTAATCATTTTTTGTCAAGAGTTTTCAGCATAGAAAAGGTTCCAAAACAGCCAGGATGCCAAAGGTGCCTCTTGTTACGATAGATGATTATGTAGCCACAAAAATCCTATAGAGGAGGGGTTTGGACAGCCAGCGTGTTTCACTTGCGAGTTCATCAGATGAACTTGTAGCAGATGCTGTATCAAGAACCATGAGCTGCACAGGCTCTTGCCCTCTGGCTTTGTTGAAGTTCATGTTAATGTTTGCGGCCTTATTAGTCGGCTCTTCATCCCAGTAACTAAAAGTTCTTAGGAAGGAAGGTTTATTTTTATTTTTTTAAGATATATTTTGTTTTTATTGGAAAGTCAGATATACAGAGAGAAGAGACAGAGGAAGATCTTCTGTCCATTGATTCACACCCCAAGTGGCCACAACAGTCAGAGCTGAGCCAATCCAAAGCCAAGAATCTGGAGCCTCTTCTGGGTCTCCCACGTGGGTTCAGGTTCTCAAGGCCTTGGGCCGCCCTCGACTGCTTTCCCAGGCCACAGGCAGGGAGCTGAATGGGAAACGGGGCTGCCAGGATTAGAATCAGCACCCATATGGGATCCTGGGGCATGTAACGCGAGGACTTTAGCCATTAGGCTACAGCGCTGAGCCCAGGAAAGTTTATTTACAGTTTACAATCTCATGGTACAGGGTCAGTGTCTTCACCCTTAACACATTCAGTCTTAAAACTTCAGAGTTTCAATGTCTCCTTGTGTTTGAGCCAACCAGACCTTACCTGAATCATCACAGTCATCAACAAACCTCCCGCTTACCCGCCCCTCCACCTGACCCTCCCACCACCACCTACCTGAGCCCAAGATATCAGAAAAGGCCCCTGGGGACAGGGTTCTCTGTGCAACCCTGAAGAGCACAGGGACTAATTATAGGGACAAAAAAAAAAAAAAGCTAGCAGGGCTTCTTTGGGGGTTGTTTTTGTCTTACAGATAGGAGACCTTGGCATAGCTCGGGATGAAAAATGGCTATTTGTAAGATAGTTTATCGGTAGGCCAAGAAGGACTTTGTGATTGTGGGGTATGGAATGAGCATACATGTGTTCCTGAGCTTGGGGGCAAGAACTCTCAGGCCACTGGCTTAAGTCACCGAGAAAGGGCAAGATGAGGTATGAGTTTGGAGAAACACGTGAATTTGGTTTTGAACGCGTGGAGTCTGAGATCCCTATGATACAGTCAGGGAGAGCGTACTGAAAAAGAGCTGAATACGGACTCCTGGGGTTCCTGAAAGTGGCCTTCGGCTGTGGGCTTTGGTGAGTGGACACCCTTGGTCTGCCGAGGGAGAAGAGAGGACAGCCGTGCCCTTCAGAGCCTGGACATGTGGAGCAGATGTGAGGATCTGGGGTGTGTTGGTTGGTGGCCCAGATGTTAGACGTCCCAGGTGCTCTCATGTGCAGCCAGGGATGAAAGCTGCTGTTGTAAGATTTGGGAAATGACGGTACCAGTAGAATCAAAGGAAACAGCTCACAGGGAGGTTTTAGGAAACTGGAGCAGGGTCGCATCGGGTGTCCTGAGCAGTGAGTATCCACAAGAGGGAGAGCGGTGAGCCACGTGGGATTCTGCTGTGGCTTAGTGACACAGAGGCTGGGTCGTGGCCCTGGGTAAGCACCCGTGGCCTCAGCAAGAAAAGCGTCGGTGGCAGAGTGGAGGAGGAGGCAGATGGGCTTGGTGGGGCGCAAGAGCAGTGAGAAAGCAGGGACCACCCCACTAACTGTTGTTTCCAAAGCGTCAGCTGTGAGTGGGGAGTAAAAACAGAGTGGTGGAAAGGCGTGTTGCTCGCTCATTGTGGGGC